ACTTTGTAACGTGAGCGGGTGATGGTGAATAAACTTGATAAACAGAATCATAAGCAGGGTTGACCAAGTACTATTACAAGTTATTATCTAAACCCTTAAACCTTTTATCTATCCGCGTGTGTCATCAATCCCATTTCAATAGTACGTACTACTCACCATGTTAAACTTGCTGAATCTACCTACCCATCTCCGCTCTTCAAGAACGAAGCTTATATCTCTATCATGTGAAATCGATCCCTTATTATATTACATTTCGCAACACGTCGCCGCACTCATACATAAACTTTATCACAACATTGATAGTAGATTACTTGCACAATAGTAACAAACTCACTAATACTTGTACTTGATTTTTCTAAAACTACACATCCTCTACTCAATCATGTAGTGATGTGGGGCACCCGGTCACCTGTATCGCCAAATGTAGGTACCTAATTATATATAGCAGCAGCACCCCCCAACGCCGAATGCGCCGACCAAATGCCTCTTTTTCTGCATACACACCGCTGCGTTTGCGAAATACTACAAAGCGCACCGCTCCTTCTCGCTATAAAACAGGAGCGGCATACTAGAGCCCAACAATGGGATAACATCTTGTTCTCCAACTTGGGGCTATGCCATAAAGGTAAGGGGAGATTTGGTACATGGACAATAGCCTGCGACCTCACGACTCATCCTCTGTATCGGTGTTGGTGGCACTGGTATCTGATCCTTCCTCCTCGGTGCCACTTTCATCATCGGAATCTTCTTCTTTGGTTACTTTCCGTTTAGCAACGGGCCCGCCTTTCAGGGCGCTCATCTGCCCGGCAATTGAATCTGCGAAGGATGTTAGTAAGAAATAGACATAAATACAGCGATAAAGGGACTTACCCTCTTCAGGCTCGCTGATTTCATCTTCCGCGGCCATTTGGGCTGCCTTGCTGGCTTCTTCCACTGATAAGGTGACATCCAACTTAGTGTCGAAACCAACATAGCTATCGCATACGAGGTGCATAACGAAGGTGTAATTGCCAGCTTGCGGAGGTGCAGCAAATTGAGCCTTCAGAGTCTGCATGTTGTATGTGGGTTTGCCATCAGGTGTAAATATCGGTTTGTCGAACGCTGTAAAAGTGAAAGGGGGAACAGCCATTCTGTCTTGTTTGCTGTCCGATAAGAAGACATGCCACTTGGGCGTATGGTCTCGAGCATAATAAGGGGCAAATGTGATGGGTGGAGAAACTGGCTTATGCTCCTCAGTAACCAGCTTCCCATCGGCGTCCTTGACGGTCTTCTTGCGTCCCAGCATTGCGTCCAAGTCATCTTCCGCTGGATCTACATCTTCAAGATCCAGCTCATCAACCGGGGGGACATCCGTGCTCCCTGGTGGTACGAAACGACCCTTCACAACAAAGGATACTAGAGACTGTGGAATAATATACTTCTCGCCCGTCACCTTGAAGAACGCCTTGGCAACTTGGAAGTGGGGTAGTTGCTTAGAGACCTCGAGGACTGTCTTGTACTGTTCCTCATTCAAGAGACCTTTTCCGACGACTAATTGTCTCCTTCGAGAATCAGGCAGGGCCATAAACTGTTGAACGCTCGTGTGAATCTTCGAGTCACCCTCGACCGCTTTCACAACAGCGGGAGTAAAGTATGGAAGTTGGAAAAGCGGGGAGGCCTTTGGTGGTATGGCCTGGACGAAGCGCTGGCTGATGTGGAAAGAGGCGAGGAGAGGTATGGTGTTACCATATGCAAGCGCTATAGCAATTGAAGATCGGCACAGGGCTTGAGCGATAGGTGCAAACAGATACTTGGCGGCGTTGAGGGCTGGGTCGTCGAGCTCAACTCTTCCCAAATAGGCCCAAAGAAGAGCGAGGACCTTCCGTCTGACGCCGCTCTCCATATGCTCCAACTTATCTTTGTCTTTTTCTGAGAGGCCACCAGCGTAGGGGGTGACTTCGCCCTTTTCCAAAATCCTCGATTCTATCTTGGAAAGACCAGACTCAGCTTTGTCGCCCTTGAGAAGCGACTTGAATTCTGCACCGGTGCTTAGAGCCGTGATTAGGTCTCCTTCATCGGTCACGTCGGTGTATTCACGGAAGAGGCTGTTGGCACTCTCGACCAGTACGCCCTCCTTGGTCACGCGCTGGGTGCCATACCACCAGGACCCGACGGCATAGGGGAGCAGTACGCCTAGGAGTACGGCATAGACCAGCACGACATACTTTCCGTTTCCGTCTGACACGATGAACTTGGGAAGGGCTATGCCAATGGAGAAGCCTTGCTTGCCATCGGGATGGCCGTACTGGATCCAGTTGTTGCGGACCTCCTCGTCGGTGAGGGCCTGGTACGCCTTGGAGAGCTCCACCCACTTGTCATTGAGCGACTCGACCGTCTCATTCTTGGCGGGGTCTGGCCGGATCTTGTCGGGATGGAACTTGAGGCCGAGCTTCTTGTAGTGCGTCTTGATCTGCTTCTCGGTGGCCGACTCGGAGATGCCGAGGATGTCGTAGGGGTTCCATAGCTTAGCGGTCGTGCGCTGGGTCGTGACGATCAGGTAGAGCATGCCGGCCATGACGGCCCAACCGAGCAGGGCGGCGATGGCGCGCTTCACCTTGCGCTGCTTCCGCTTGTGCGCCTTGGCTTGCGCCTGGATGAGGTCGGCATGCTCGGGCTTGTACGAGGTCTGTATCCTGGGAGCGAGGGCCTCGGGGTCTTTGGAGGTCGTGAGCAGGCTGTAGGTCAGCGGCAGCGTCACGATGGTGGACAGCGTGAAGATGAAGAAGGGGTAGAATTGCCCCTGCTCGTCGTACGAGTAGTCGGAGCTCATTGTGCAGGCGGGCGCTGCAACAGCGTCTTTGCGAACGGCCTCGTGAACGGGACACTACAGATAGGGCTGTTCATGGGCTGGCCGCCTGGATCGAAGCGTGTGTGTTGTAAACGACTCTGCTGCTGCTGCTGCTTCGTTGCTTGGTCTGGTGTGGAGTTGCACTCTCTCTCTCTACCAGACTTGAATCGTGGCTTCTTAACTATAATGCCAAGAGTGCCTAAGTAATTAATACCTGCCGCATCTCTGTATTGCCTTGGTCCCACTATCGATAAGTAAAAGCAATGTGGCTAGAAACTAAAAGTATGGGGCCCTCCGCTACTCGACCCCTGACTTACAGCACTACCGGCCCTATTCTTAGGTGATCCAACCCACCTACTGACATTAGGTAGTCCTTAGACGCATCCCTAACCTCTTATAGCATTTTCCAAATTTGTAGTTTGGCCATTTCTCCATGAACGGCCGTGCAATTGATCGTGCGAATGGACTTGAAGTGTTTTTTTATTACTATATAGGTCTTGTACACGTCGGCTTCCCGAACCTGGGCGTGACCTGGCTAAGTAATGGTACAGACAGACTGGCAATTGTGGAAGATGCTGTATAGAACGATCCAAATCTAAGAGGAACATACCGATTGCCATTCACGTGAACCAACTCTTTTATCTAATAAGAGGTATACCAGTGCCAACTCTCCTCTTGTAGTTGGTGTAATCATCCCCAAAGAATCGGACGAGATCGGCCTCTTCAGACTTGATACGTGCTGCGAAGAACCTCCACAGCACAAGCACGTAGCCCACAAAACATATCGGGTTCCCTAGGACCAGCTGTGTACCTATCCCCCAGTAGAAGAACCCAAAGTACGCCGGATGCCGTAAGAACGAGTACACTGCCGTAGTAACGAGATCATGGTCGTCCTTTTTCTTGCGTTGGATCGTATGGTTGAAAGAGGGCCCAGCCTGAATCATCGCTAGACTCCGCGCAGCCTGTCCGACAAATACCAACACAAGGCCCAGGAGAAGGAGGATGTGACCGCTATAGAACGGTGCCCATGCGCGATGGGGGAATAGCACATTAGTCAACAGGCATTCGAGCGAAGCGGCCATGTGGGCGATGGCATATGCCGGCCAGTTGGCCGTCAGAAGAAAGGAATCAATGGTGGCTACCGAGGTGTTGTATTTGGCAGTAGTCCAGAACTCCAAGAAATGGAAGGCCGAGAGTGCGCCGAAGAAGAAGGGAAGGCGCCAAAGGGGCGACGCGGTCGTCAACACTATGGAGACCATAGCTGTAGTAGACAGCGCCAGGGTGACGCCGAGACAGAAGGATCGGATGGCTATGCCCTCGAGAGACTTTGGGTGGCCAGGGAGATAGTCCTGGTCTGGTCTCGCCTGTGCATGGGGAGCAGCGGGACTGTGCCTAGGCAATAGTAGATCGTCAGCATTGCCATCGCCGGTCGAAGGACGTCTCGTGATCGGTGAGAGGGCGTCTACAACGAGCGAGCGACGGCGTCGGTGCCTTGTGGCCCATGGCTTCTCGTCATGCGGGTTCTCGTTGAGAGTAGGGAGCGGAGAGAAGGTAGGTGTGCGTGGTGGAGAGACGGTCGTCAAGGCAGCAGAAAGTGAGGCATTGGTGTCGATAGTCGGCATTGCGCGCAGATGGTAACGTTTTCTCGACGGCGGTAAATCAAACGATGCCTTCTTCCGAAGTCTCGAGTGTCATGGGAAGGGAATGGCGAGGAAAGCGCTTACCTATGAGGCGGGAAGTCCATTGTTGCGCGCAGTGTCTTTTGTTATGATGACAAGCTCTCAGATGACCTTCAAAGAACAAAGCAGAACGCGAGAGGTTAGTCGCCATTATCCTCACGTCATGTTGTTGAAGCCCGGAGCCCCGGGGTTCTTTGTTTGCTTGGTGATGATGATGAAATGTGGGGGTGTTCAGAATACCTACAGTAGAACAAATCGAGCAGCGGGTAATTACATGTACTTACTACGCTTCTTTACGCACATGTTCAGATGCGCCAGGCACACATCACGTTTTCTGGCGTTATCACATGGGAGCTACACATTGCGAGCATCATTCCCAGCGATAAAGCTATACCATTCCAGCTTCCCTGGTCTTTCGCAGATGGTCTATGCTCGACCCCACCCTCTCCCCCAACCCCTCATATATATACGCTATTACGCACTAAAATTAACCAGTCAAGGTGACCGAGTTGGTTAAGGTGCCAGACTCAAGAGTTTATCTTACACTTCCAAAGTGTGTGTTCTGGTGGAGCAATCCGCGCGAGTTCGAATCTCGTCCTTGACAGTTCTTTTTTTCTTTTTTTTCCCACTACCTTTTTCACTTGGGTTTTAAGGCCTATGTTACAATTTCTCTTTACGTAGGTGCATCGAGTCTTACTTTTTGATTTTGCTTATTGATAGACAAGGAGCGCTTTAAGTGCTATAAAAGTTGGCATGATCTATGTGACAGCCTTTATTGCTTAGGCTGCTTAAGCATGTGCCGCTGGGATGGCACATGTGAATGCACATGCCGACAGTGATATTGTGCCCGGATAAAAGAGGCGAACAGATGCTCATAGGGCTCTCTTTAGTATAAGTCGGAGGTTTTCCCCACGTCTTCTTGAGATAGGCGACCTAAGAGTGCTCATGAGAGTGTGGTTACTGGCCTTATCTCCGATACTTTGTCATGTTGGAATAGTCGGCAGTATACCAGCTCACAAGTCATGAGAATTAACACATTGTTCGAACGCGGCTTTCCATGTGGACAGCCTCTTTGCTTGGCTATATGACGTAGCGTGCGACATGATATACCCAGGCAACCAGGGGCTTTACGAAGGACTCACAGTAGACGTTGTTAGAGTCTCATAGTGTAGGGACACACATGTATCCTTATTATCCATCAGTCAGATACACATAATAAACTCAACGCAAAAAGGCGAGGCACATGAGGAGAGCGGTTAGCTCAAACAGTTTGCAAAGACTTCTTGTAAGTAATGAGTGTGTCGCCCAAGTCTTGAAATTTGCAGTATTATACGAAGAATCCGATGCTGGAAAGGACCTGTAGAGATGAGATGTACAAATCGTGCAGAATTGGTGCGACAGGCATTGTCATTAGTCAATGTGAAAGTCTCCATCTAGACTATTCGGCTGTTCTGCTCGTTGAAGTGGCAATCTAATGCTACTCTCAGCTATGTTTTCCACGATTTGCTTTCTGCATGGGTTACCAAATATTGACAGAGCAGGCCAATACGGCCTTGAAAATCAGAACTAGTAAGTAGGACTGTAAAGATATGAAAAGTTGTTAATCATGATATCTGCTCTCTACCAGAAGATATATTATTGAACCGGGATCTGGAAGTTCCTATGTCTTAGGTGCACGGCCTGTACATGTGATATCGCAACCAAATCATCAGAACGATATTACCTGCTGCCCCATTATTAGATCTCGGAGTTAGTCCTTCTGTCCAGTTCAAAGATGGCTCCTCACTTCTAGATATAGATGCTATAGAACCGATGAGCTGAGACGGAGTTATCTAGGTGCTGACTTATCCTGCTTCTGAAACTATGCGAATAGCAGCTCATTATTCTCTACTGCTTAGCGATACTACCAATGAGATGTGTGACAATTAAGATAGATTAGTGCATTTTAATTTCTCCTGGTTATTTTGCGTTATTTAACTAATTATATACACATACTTCCTCGGCCCACCTACAAGCACTGCGAGTAATAGGGGTTACCAACAGTACAAGTCGAGCCCGACGCACAGACAGTGCAACCCGTCCAGCCCGTGCCACCGCACTGCCCGTACTTCGCGACAGAGCACGACGTCGGGCTCGAGCCCGTCGAAGTCGTAGTACTCGTTTTCAGGGTCGTAGTCGTAGTTGTCTTCGTCGACGAAGCCGTAGTAGTAGTAGTACTACTTCCACCCGTAGCAGCAGCCGCGAGCACACTACTAACTGCGGTCCAAGCAGGCTTCTTGTTCAAATCATCATCGTACAGCAGCGCGTCGCCCTGGCCGGAGAACGTGGCCGGGATCCAGCTGTACTTATCCGTGAGATCCCAGATCGTAATTCCCACGCACGCCTTCTCAGCCAGACACGCCTTGGTGACGGTCGCGAAATCCGTCGCCTGCTGCGCCAGGCCGGCGTCCGTGGGCGGCAGCGAGCTGAAGCGCACGTCGAGCTCCGTGTAGGCCACCTCGGTGACGCCCGCGGCGACGTACGACTGGATGGCGCTCTGCAGGCTGCTCTGCGACGGCGTGCTGCCGACGATGAGGTGCGCCTGCATCCCGACGCCGTCGATGCGCGCACCCGCGGCCTTCACGAGCCCGATGATCTTGACCACGCTCGCCTGCTTCGACCCCGTGCTCTCGATGTTGTAGTCGTTGTAGTATAGCTTGGCGGCGGGGTCCGCGGCCGCCGCGGCCTTGAAGGCGAGCGCGAAGTACGAGTCGCCCAGCACGTTGTAGAAGACGTTGGCGCGGTACGTGCCGTCGTCGTTGAGCCCCTCGTTGACCACATCCCAGGCGTAGCACTGGCCCTTGTAGTGGCCTACTTCGTTGGCGATGTGTGTGTTCACCACCGAGGTCAGGGTGTCCACTGTCCACGTCCCGCTACTGACTATCGTCTAATGTGTTAACGAGGATACTGCCAGGATAATCTCAATAGTCTCTTATAAATGGCAAAGGATGACTAACCCCATGATGGCAATTGTGAGTACCATACGAGTGTATGGCATCTCAAAAGCTGGCCGTTGGTTTCTGCCAGCTCTGCAATCTGGTCACCTGAGGTATAAGAGAATGTACCCTGGCTGGGTTCGATGTATTGCCATTTCATAGCATTTCCAGGCGTCTTGACAAGATAAAGTCAGCAACTATACCTTCATGATAATACCGTGAGAGTTAAGGAGTATATGAGTGTAGCTGTGTCTTGGCAAACACGTCCCCTTAAATTGAAAATGAGACCTTGGGGAGGGTCATCGGAATCACTCACAATCTGACCAAACTCATCGGTATCCGACAGGATAGCGACATAAGCCGTATCCGTCAACTCCCCATTATCCGTCGCCGAACCGAAGTACAGCTTGCCGGCTGCCTTGGCGAGTTTGTTCAGCTGCGCCGAGGCGCCAGGCAGGGCCAGCAGAGCCGTGAGTGCTGTGCTGTACAACATGGCAGAAGACCGTTGAATCTGATTAGGCGGCTAATGTACCCAAGGTGGTAGTACTAATAGTAGAAGTGACCCAAGATATACTATATCATGCGGCTTGATAGCACGACGAACGTTATGAAACCCTGACGGACGGGACCCAACTGGTGCAGTGCAGTATGTATAGATTGGTCAACACCACGGTTGTATCTTAGGCTATATATACACGCGTATTTGCTTGTCTCTCCAGTCCCTTTATGATATATGATACGAAGCAGCGCCACGTACGCGTTTTCCTGGCATGGATTTGATAATTCCACAAAACTCCCTCCCCGTAGCACCGACATTCTGCTAGACTTGAAATGTGCTTCTGCGGAGATGATCCCGTCAGTTCCATTCTCTCTCCGGCCGGAGACTCTCGAGCAGGGATTAACTGCGGACGGCCTGCCATTCTTGGCATTACCCCTGACGGTCTTGGAGAGTTATCGATCTATGTACCAACCCCTACAGCAGCTGGTCAACCGTCATGGCATGCTGCTTGGTTACAAGGGTGCTTTTCTCCACCTATAAGAGCTGAGGCTCTGCGTTCTACGGAACCTACATCCTCCGCCGTACCAAAGCTTCGGAAAAACCACCCGACGACCAGGACAAGTAGCGTAGACAGTCTTTTAAAACCAGCATTCCCGTTCTTACCCCCCCCATATCAAGAGTAGGTATTTTAGCGACCTGAGAATTTTTCATGTCTTAATGTAGCTGTGAGTCGACGCACGTTAAAGGGCGAGTTATAGTATAGTTTAATGGGAATAGAATAATAGTACGAAAACATTGGAAGTCAGACATAGCACAATAATTACTATGCAGGAACTCGTTACAAATGAAATTTCAATTAGGTATCGTGAACAGTAAGTAAAAGGTGGGTATACCCCGCAAACGCCTACAATGCATGAATAGGTCATAAAACGTCCTCTTTGCCCAGCCAAAATCAAAACCGGAGGTCCAACCTCCCCAAAGAGAATCCCAAAAGAACTCGATACACCGCCGTGTTAATTGAGTCTACGTGACTGCGTAGACGAATATGTATACAATGTGGCCATGCCAGTCCAATCGGTTCGGATCAGCCAACTAAGGGAGTGCCACGCATAGGCTGTCCTACTCGATTGAAGAGCTCGGCCCCCGTCCATCTAAGAAATTGTGCTATATCCAAGTCTCCGCAGGCATAAGAGAGACCATTACCAGATGTGGATGTAGTCTCACATCTGATAACCTGCGTTCAATCGAATTTTTGGTGCACGAAGGCTGCATATTGGGCAGGTGTTATGAGCACTTGTTCGGCTCCGTTATTTTGTTCGAAACGGGTTTGAGTGCCCCATACCAAAACCGCTGCGCATAATCTCGCAAAAACCGCAATCTAGAAAAGGCAACTAACCTCGTCGTTGCTGAAGCGCGCCGGCTATGCAGAGCGTATCGGGTACAGGAGGGCGTTGGATCTCTAGGCTCCGACTTGGTACCATTCGCCCGCCAGGAGTTCGTGGATGAGGCACATTGACACGCCCGGTGCGTTCCATCAGGCGACTCCGCGTGTCAAGGTCCTCATCACCGCTGTCGGAATCGCCATCATAATCGGCGAGTCTCGCGAAATAATCCGCCAGACCGTCTACACTAGGCGTCCCCACGACAAGGTCGTATTGAGGAGGGGGCGTCTGCAAGGGGGGCGGAGGATCGTCGGCATCGAAAGCAGGAGGGTTGTGACTTGGATAGCGAATTAAGTGAATCGGCCGCTGAACCGGCTGAGAGCTTGCTGCGGGATGTTGCTGCACGTGGGCTGCGGCTGGCATCGCAACACCTGAATTCTCGTTGTTTGTCGCGTTATTACCGGTTTCGACCGATAGTATGCTGCCTGTACTAGACGCCGGGCTGGGATTGGTTGCAAGTATTTCAGCATCAGGGCACCCGCAGCTAGCTTGTTGGTGATAGATTGGCCGTTCAGAGCCCGAATATTCGGGAAGAGCCGTATTTGCCTGGGTTGCGCGGCAGTCGAGTACAGTAAAGGGCGAGTCGATACTGATCTCGAAATGGCGGCGCTTCTTTCCAGCTGGATCATCTGGATCAAGTCGGGAGATACGCATCACGATCTGTGTCCCAGTCTGATGTTAGCCACTG